TTTTTTTTTTTTTTTTTTTTTTACTTTGTTCTCATTTTCTTCTTAAAGATCATATTTAGATCTTCTTGAACAAAAAAAGAAAAAAAAATTAGAATTTTACTTCTTAATATTGTGTATATAAATTGTCCTTATCATTTATTAGACCATTTATTAGACCATTTGCATGTTTATTTGAATATCAAATCAACTTCAATTCATATTCAATTCATATTTTGCCTGTCTAAATTTGTAACCCTTGTGTTTGATAATTTTCATTCCTAATTCAAACTCAAGAATACTTCTGAATTTACCTGAATTCCATAAAAAGAAAAGTTAGATCATTCTCTTGTATGTTATAATTAAGAAGGTCATTTAGCCAAAATCATAACGACCTTTTTTGTTTAATTCATTTTCTGTGTGCAGTTTTACCCAAAGATATTTGTGTCCCTTATTTGTTTGATCCTTTCTTTATTTTATTTTGTTGTAATTTCATAATTACCTTATCTTGATTGTCTTGAATAGCTCGCTACTATAGGAATTGCTTTATCCATACCTTGATCATAATTTAATCACCGTCCCAAATAGCCTATCTTTGTGTGTAATAAGCTCAATGCCTCTACTTGTGATCTTTCTCAACACTAGCCTCCAAATAGCCTTAATACTCACAAGGAAATACTCATAGGTGCGGCCGCTAGACAGGCTTAATGCCTCTACTTGGTGTTAACCTCCAAGGACTTTCTGTAATTATCTCTTAGGTTCTATTTTGAACTATGAATGCTTTGTTGTATAGTTAAGGTATGGCTTCTCTCGTTGGGCTAATGTATACTTTCATTTTCTCTTCATAAAAGCTCGGTTTCTCATAAAACAAAAAACATATTTATCCTTTTACACGATATGATATCAATCCTCCATGTAACAAATTAATTTTAAAAAACTATAATGTAGAAAGATAAACAAGCAACAATCAACATTTCAAAATAGAAAAGCCAATTACCAAGAAACTATCATACTTTGCATTTACAAGGAGTTTGTTTCATGTTTAACAGAATCAAATAAATGGTAAAACGAACTTAGATCAAGATAACCATAATTATTCCACAATTAATGATTGAATCCCAATGGAACTGTCTTGAATGAACTATAACGTCATCAACTAGGCAAAAATAAACTCACCATTTGACGTGCTTGTGGGGGGGCTTTTGCTTGTGTTGTCGCCAACCTAATGCCAATGCTATGCGAGAATATTGATAAATCTGCAGCCTAAGAAGTTTAAAAAAAAACAAGAATATAAGTTCAATGAAACGAAAAATGAAACAAAGTCGTATAAGTTCAGGAAACTACCACTGCAGAACATATTATCATCTTATGTCCCCGAACCAGTGAAAAAGCAGTGTGACTGTTACTGAGGAAAGAAGTCTTCTGAATACCCAATTGATTAACTAAACCACCTGAAAACCATATTAATTTTAAGAAGTTCCTGCAACTAAGCCTGAGGTAAGAAAATTCAAACAGAAATTAAAAATAATAATAATCATCGAAGTTACCATTTGTGATGCCACATGAATAGTTTGCTGAACTTCCAACCCTGAGCATTACACATTTTACAATAACACCATTAGACCAAAATAAGAAGATGAAACATATTCAATTCTCACTAAATAAGAAGGAAAGGATAAACACCCTTGTCGACGTTGCCAAGAAAATGAGAATAAAGAACAAAAAATCCAATAATAATCATGCAGCACCTAACAATATGATTAGAAATTAAGCTGTATTCAAGTAAATGATATTCCATTTCCAGATTTCCAGCAGAATGTTACATTTTCCAACCAGCTAAACAATGATTGAAAAAACGCCTTACACTCAAAGACCGCCATTACCAACCTGAGCTTTCTCATTCCCCAAAAAATCAATTGTGAATTTAAGGGAAAAAAAAAACAGTAGCAGAGTTCAATTTTCCCTTACTATCAGCCACTCAACTTTCTAAATTCTTGGAAACCAAACAAAGAAAAGAGGAAATCACAAACTATATAACAAATGCTTACCGAGAAGTAAATGCTCGATTCTGTGCCGTGCGATACAGGATTTGGAGTAATCTGGAATTCATTTCTAGTACCAAATCTGAAAACCTCTGGCGCTATTTTCTCCGATCATGAAAAGTAAGATCGGTCACAGGAAGAGGTTTTTGGTTCGAAGGGTTTAACGGATCAAACAAACGAAACGGAGTGATGAGTGCGTTGCCTTTTTGGGCCAGAAATGTGTTGGCCCAACTTATTCCTTTGTGTTTTTTTTAAAATGTACGTAAAGTACGTTAATTATTTTAATAATAAATAAATATTAGGGTTGTACATTCAACCCGACAATCCGGACCAACTCAATTCGAACTATAAGAGTTGGGTTGGGTTAGGTTACCATTTCGAGTAGAATTAGTTCATTTTTCTGAACCCGAACTGAATCGGTTCGATTTCGAGTTTGTGGACAAACCCTTCACGTTGACCCGAACAAAAAAAAAAAAATTAAACATATTAAGAGTGGTACCCGTCTAAGGATACTCATGCCCAAATTCGACCACGAGCAAATACAAAATACAAGTTTGTTTTTATTATTTTGTTATTTTATTATTTTTAATTTCTTGTGTTATTTTTAATATATATATTTTTTTATTTTTCAATTTAGGATCCCAAATATAAATAAGTATATTTCAATTAAAATATTTTTATATATTTTTTATTTTTGTTATATACACCGCCTTTAAATTAATTATTTTTATTGTTTATTTAATTCCATGATCTATCTTTGTTTTTTTTTTTTTTTTTTTTTTTTTTTT